AGTAGTAGTAGTAGTAGTAGTAGTAGTAGTAGTAGTAATAGTAGTAGTAGTAGTAGTAGTAGTAGTAGTAGTAGTAGTAGTAGTAGTAGTAATAGAACTAGTAGTAGTAATAGTAATAGTAATAGTACTGGTAGTCGTAGTCGTAATAGTAGTAGTAGTAGTAGTAGTAGTAGTAGTAGTAGTAGTAGTAGTAGTAGGAGTGGGAGTAGGAGTAGGAGTAGTAGTAGTAGTAGTAGTAGTAGTAGTAGTAGTAGTAGTAGTAGTAGTAGTAGTAGTAGTAGTAGTCACGCGAGCAGCTAATAGTCTTAAACTTAACATGGTGGTTGTTGTTGTTGCTGCTGTTGTTGAACTGCTGCTGCTGTTGTTTTTGCGGTGATAATTATAATTGTCGTTGTTATTTCAACTGTTGCTATTGTCATTGTTGCTGCTATTGTTGTTGTTGTTTTATTTGAAGCGAAATTACCGTTAATCTCCCCCTCCGGTAACATGTGTTTTTCAATTGAAATACCCTTTCCCGGGGCTCGCACCATGTTTTCTATCAGGGGAAATCTTCCTCCTCAAACTGCGTTGTTGGCCCTCGAACTACAACAACAACGGCTCCCGCCTAATACTTCCTCATAATTAATCCCCAGCTCGCGCTCTCGTGTGCGGGACTTCCTCACAATTCATTCAAGAACCGCACTCTTGCGTGGGAGTTCCTCGCAGTTTATTCAGACGCCGCGCCCTCGACATTCAGGAGTCACGCTCTCGCTGTGGATTTCCTAATCTCGCGATTCATGCAGGACGCACGCTTTAGCAACCCGCCTACTCGACCTGGCCGCCTGGGCCCTCCTTCCCGACACGCCTGGTAGTGTCTACCCGCCCGATCTGCCCGCTTGGTTCTGCCACGTGCGTTCTGCTCCCAGCCTCCATTCTTAGTCTCTGTCGTGCTCCATCCTCCTCCCTCCCCCTTGCCCCTTCCTTCCATCCGTCCTCTCTTCCCCTGCCTCAAGGGCTGCACGAAATACACGTTGCAGGTAAGAAAGATATACCCCCAATGGGGTACGGTCGAAGACGAAGAGGGCGGGTATCGAGGGTTCGGGATAGACGTGTTGAATGGCACGCGAGCAGATAAGAGCGATCAGTCTCAAACTTATTGGTGTTGTTGTCGTTGTTGAGGTGGATCATGGTGGCTGTGATGCTGAGGTTGATGATGACTGCGACGACGACCGTAATCGTTGTGATCACGGTGACGAGGGGGGGGGGAGGGGGCCGAGGAGGAAGAAGAGGCGGCCCCCCGATCTAACACTGGCCAAATGCCGGGTACGCGGATCAGGCGAAGCGGTGAAGGATGACAAGCAGGAAGAAGGAGTGGGGGGAGCGCAGTAGGCGCAGGAACAGCGGCCGGCTGGCGGGCCGCCGGCCTGGTCCCCCTCCCCCCCCGCGTGGCTCTCAGGAGCCCCTCCTCTGGCGTCCCCTCCCCGATCCCTCCCCGCGGCTCGTTGCTGCGGGCACCATGATCGGATCAACAACGCTGCCATCCCCCCCAGCGGCTTTCGCCGCTACGCAGGGGGTTGATGCGAAGCGCGGCGAGACGGCAAACGGCTGAACGACGACCCCCCCCTCCTCCTCCTCCTTCTCCTCCTCTTCCTACTCCTCGCGCCTCTCCCTGCTATTCCGCCACTCCTCCCTCTTCCCTCCATCCTGCCTCCCAGCACCTTTTTCCTCTCCTCTGGTTCTCTGACTTCTGGGTCGCCTCGGCACTCGGGAAACTCTATGGGGGGGAATGGTGTGCAGCTGGATGTTGATGTTGCTTTACAACTGTCCCGATTCCGCTTCCGATCCTTCCTCGTCATCGGCTGGGCCCGCGAGCTCCCCCCTCCCCCAGGGACCCTGCGACCCTGGAGGCGTGGGTACTTACTCTCGGAACGCTGGGGATCCTGGGGGCCCTGGGGACCCTGGGGCCCGGGGAAAGCCGAGCCTGCGCTCGAGCCCGAGCACGGCCCCCTTGCATCCCCTGCCCATCTCTCGGAGCAAGGCGAATTCATACAACGGCACTTCAAAATCGGTCCCCAGACCCCTCCTGGGGTCCAAACGCACCGGTTTTCCGAGCTGCGTCCAGGCGCGCCGCCGGAGCGTGGTGAGCGTTGTGAACCGCAGCGCTCCAGGACTGGAACGTATACCGCGCTCTCGGGATAGCCCTGTAACCATGTCCGCTTCCGTGTCTATCGTGTACCATTCTAGCCTCTGGCTTCCGCCCCGCGGCCACGGCCACGGCTGGGACTGTGGCCGCACGAGAGCCCAGAATCGAATCGAGAAGTCGGATCGGCGATCGACATGAGTCGGATCGGCGGGAATCGGCAGCCAAGTCGGTCGGAGTCGAAACAGCGGGAATCGGCAGGCTAGTAGGCCTCCCTCGAGAAATCAAAATCCAAATCGGAGCCCGAAGTCGAATCACATCGGAATCGGAATCCATCGTAATCGAAGCGAACCGAATCGGAGGAGTCGAAATGAGCCCGTGGCCGTGGCTCCCGAGAGACGAAAACCATGCATCCCCCCCCCCTCCACACGCGGCGTGGAGGCGTCTCGGCGTCAGAGCACCGAGGCGTCTCGGCGTCTTGGCGTCGAGCCGTTGCTGGCGGGGGCGGTGCTTCTGCGAGGAACCTGACACAGTGTTGACCTGCAGGAAAAAGGATAATAAGCTCTGCCAGTACGGAACGGCAGACCATCCATTCAGCCACCCAGCAAGGCGACCGTCACCCGGCATCTCCCGGTTGTGGTAGCCAAGCTGCCTGGCGACACTCTCCCTCTACCTTCTCCTCCTCCTCCTCCTCCTCCTCCTCCTCCTCCTCCTCCTCCTCATCGGCTGGCTGCATCTTGGGGTTGTGGGGAATCTGCGTGGCGCCCTCCTCCTCCGCCCCCTCTTCAGCCTCCTCCTCCTCCTCGGCCTCCGCCCCCTCCTCCTCGGCGGACCGCAGGCGCGGCCCCGCCTCCTCCTCGGCCTCCCGGCGTCGAGCCGTTGCTGCGTCGAGGCCGTGGCCGTGGCCACCCCCCGGCCCGCCAGCGTGCGCAGCGGCTGCGCCTGCTCCTCGGAGATCGTCAGCTCGGGGACGCGCTCCCGGCCGCCGATGGCCTGCCGCCCGCTCCCCCCCCCCCTGTGCCCGAGCCGGCCCCGCCGGTACTGCGAGGAGGAGGAGGAGGAGGAGGAGGAGGAGGCGGAGGAGGAGGAGGAGGAGGAGGAGGAGGAGGAGTTGAGGAGCTGGAGGAGGATGAGGAGGATGGAGGAGGAGGAGGAGGAGGAGGAGGAGGAGGAGGAGGAGGAGGAGGAGGAGGAGGGGGCGAGAGGCGGATGACGAAGACGACGACGACAACGACGACGAGGGTGAGGTGATGATGATGACGATGATGATGCTGATGCTGATGCTGACGATGATGCTGGTGATGATGGGGGTGGTGGTGATGATGACGATGATGATGGTGGTGATTCTTGGATGCTGGTGACGATGCCGATGATGGCGATAAGCATGGTGATGGTGATGACCCCGAGCTGCACTGCCATGCTTGTGGTGGAAGGAGTCCTCGTGCCCTCAGCGAGCCGCCACGCTGTGGGCACTACTCAGCCACAGGCAGAGCTGCGCCCCGAGCAGCGTGCGCTGCAGCCTCCGGCGCCGCTGCCGCATCCTGGTGCTGGGCCACAGTCGCTGATGGAGGCCAGCTCCGCAGCCATCATTCCGAGGAATGTGTCCGTCTGCGGGTGGAGGCGACTGTGCGGCTCGTAGCCCAACGCGGCCGCGTTACCCTCGTTGCTTTGTCTCGCAGTCCAGTGCCCGCCGCCTCCGCTGCGACCTCGCGCGCGTGCACGTGTCGCGCCGCGTGTGGGCTGCGGATCGAGGCACCCCACGCCCATGCATGGGTTGCCGTTGGTGCCCTGCCGGCAACACCAAGCATGGCCTCCTCGCGCTGAGGCGTGTCGCCTTCTGCCGCCGCATCCTCGCAGCTGGGAGCTGGTGCAGCTGGGGCCCGTGTTGCTCCTCGTCGACGTCGGCTCCTGCTCGACGGGCGAGCTGGGCCAGGCCAGTGCGCAGGGCGCGGCGGGGCCTCCGGCGCGCCAGCCGCCCTTCTCGGAGGCCTCCCAGACGGGGTCCGAGCAGGAAGGGTCGGAGGATTGCTCCGCATCGCCAACGCATCGGCGATGCGTCGGCGATGCATCGCCGACGTCGGCGACGCATCTGCGCTGTCGGCGTGGAGAAAGTCGGGTTCCACAGCGGAGCCGCATCGCCAATGCATCGGCGATGCGGCGCGATCCTCCGACCCCATTTGTTCCGACCCCATCTGGGAGGTCCAGATTTTTGCAGCCCGAAGGGTCGGGCCTTCTCAGAAGGCTCGGAAGTCCCCTGGCCTTCTGAGAAGTTCTCTGAGCCTCCCCCGAAGTCGCAGAAAACTGCTCCGAAGGCCGGAGGCCTTCTGAGAAGCCACGCCGCCTTCTGAGAAGGCCTTCTCCTTCTCACTTCCCCCCCTCGCTCGCCGCCGATCTTCTGAAGCCCGTGCTCACTCGCGGCGCAGAGGTCCAGCATCGACCCTGTCCGGTTCATGGCGGACTCGAAAAGGCTGCACTCGGACGCACGGGCCAGGCAGGCCCTGGAGCGCGTGCTCTGCTCTTGGCGACGTGGGGGCTCGACGCCTGTGCGGCGAGACGACGGACTCCTTTCTCCCATTTTGTTGTCCTGCTGTTGCTGCCCGTCCGATCTGCCCGTCTGGTTCTGCCACGTGTTGTCTGCTCCTGGACCCCCTCCTGCTAGTTTCTCTGGTGCTCCGTCCTCATCCCCCCCCTTCCATCCGTCCTCTCTTCCCTGTTTTGGGGCTGCACTAGGTGCTCGTGGCAGGTAGGGAAGATCTGCCCCCAAGGAGGTACGATCGAAGACGAACAGGGGACCGAGGGTTTCGGATACATGTGTTGAATGGCACACGACAAGATGGGAGCGAACAGTCTTAAACTTATGGTTGTCGCTGCGGTTGCTGTTGCTGTTGTTGTTGCTGCTGTTGTTGTTGCTGCTGTTGTTGTTGCTGCTGCTGTTGTTGTTGTTGCTGTTCTTGTTGATGTTGCTGTCGTTGCTGCTATTGTTGGTGTTGTTGTTGCTGCTGTTGTTATTGTTGTTTCTGTCATTGCCGTTGCTGTTGGTGTTGTTGTTGCTGCTGCTGTTGTGGTTGTGGTTGTGGTTATTGTTGTTGTTGTTGCTGCTGCTATTGTTGCTGCTGTTGTGGTTGCTGTTGTTTTGTTGTTGTTGTTGTCGTTGTTGTTGTTGTTGTTGTTGTTGTGATTGTTGTTGTTGCCGTTGTGGTTGTTGTTGTTGTTGCGGTTGTTGTTGCTGTGGTTATGATTGCTGCTGTTGCTGCTGCTGTTGTTGTTGTGGTTGTGGTTGTGGTTGTGGTTGTTGTTGTGGTGGTGGTGGTTGTTGTTGTGATTCCCCTCCAGACGGCGGCCAACGATGACTAACGATCAAGGGCAGGGCCTGGAAGACAGCGCGGCTGTGTGGAGATCCCCAGTGGCCTACTCAGTCAACGACAGCCGAACTCAATATCAACAAAAACAATCCTTCAAGAAACGGGGGCCAACTCCCGGAAAATTCGAAACACCTTTAGGCCTCTTTCCCTCGGCATCCGCAGGAGGAGGAGGAGGAGGAGGAGGAGGAGGAGGAGGAGGAGGAGGGAGGAGGAGGAGGAGGAGAGGAGGAGTGAGGAGGAGGAGGGAGGGAGAAGGAGTAAGAGGAGGAGGAAGAGGAGGAAGGAGGAGAGGAGGAGCGAGGACGAAGGAGGAGAAGGAGGAGGAAAGAGGAGGGAGGGAGGAGGAGGGAGGGAGGAGGAGGAGAGGAGGAGGAGAAGAGGAGGTAGAAGGAGGAAGGAGAAACTGGGCCAGCTCTCCGTCAGATCGGTGAAGGAACGCCGGCCCAGCTCTTCGGACGGAGATTTCTTGAATCAGCTGCTCGGCTGCGGCAGGCCCCGCCCCGAGGAGACCACCCGCTCGAAAAACACCCCCGCGCCGTGCCCCACCCCCGGCAGACCTTCCCGAGGCCCCAGGATGGCCTCCCGAGGGCCCCCAAAAAGGTTCCAGTGATCCGGAAGTCTAAAAAGGGGTCCAAGTCGCTCGACGACCGATGTGCCCAGACCCTCGACGTCGTGATTTTTTCACAGCGTCGACCCTCAGAGGTCTGGACCCCTTCCCTGGAACTGGTTTTTCATGCTGAGTCGCTTTTTGACGGTCCCGAGGCCTGGTAGGGCCCCCCCAAAGGCAGACAATAGCCAAAAACTGCTGTCACGAAGGGGTCTGGGTAAGGCTCGGCATCAAGCACGCACAACGGCAGCAGAACCTTCGACGAGGGTGGGAGTACCATGTGGACCTGCTCTAGAAAAAACCGTAAACGGATCTGCCCTGTATCTGACCTTGCACTGCGCCGAACGCAACGGTCACGTTGTCCATAAACGTATCCGCCCTGAAAGCGTCTATGGACGTCACGGCATCCGATGTGTCCATAGACGCCTTTGGCTACGACGCGAGAGCGGTCTTTGGCGTCGGCCCCAGATGTTGGTCTTTTGGAAGCAGGTCGGCTTAGGTCGGTCATGTCCTCCTACAGACGAACTATGGAAGAAAGATCAGATTAGTCAAACAATATTCAGAACGAACCAAATATAGTCGAACAAACATCCCTGGACTATTCTCACTATTCTCGAACCCTCCTCCTGTAGAGGGACACGCTCGACTTAACGCTAAGCTTGGCCCTCCGAGAGGTTTGCCCCGCGCGGGCGGCGGCCCGGCCTCTCGCTCCTGGTGTGGGGGGGGGGGGGGGTTCCCAGGCCCCGCCCCTCCTGGGGCCCGGGCCGGGGGGGGGGGGCGTTTCCGCGAGCGGGGTCGCCGCCCCCTCCAGGGAGCCGGGCCCCCCTGGATCCCCCCATGGATCCCCCATGAGGAAACCTCGCGCTCTCGGGGCTCCTCTCCCTCCTCCTCCTCCTCCTCCTCCTCCTTCCTCCCTCCTCACTCCCCGTGCTCCTCTCCTCTTCCTCCTCCCTCTCCTTCCTCCTCTCCTCTTCTCCTCCTCCTCCGCCTCTTCCCCCTCGTCCTCCTCTCCCTGCTCTTCCTCCTCATCCCTCCTCCTTTCGTCTCCTCCCTCCCCTCCTCTCCTCCTCCTCCTCCTCCTCCCCTTCCCCCTCCCCCCCCTCCTCCTCCCTTCCTCCTCCTCCTCCTACCTCATCCTCCCTCCTCCTCCTCCTGGCAGCGGGGCCCCAGAGACACCGAGTCCGGGGGGGTCTCTGGGGCGTTCGGCGCGCGGCGCGGGCCCTGTCCCGCGGGCCGCCGCCCGCCGCGCCCCTCCCTGTGCTTAGCCGCGAATGCGGCGGAGAAGTTGGGCGCCGCCTCGACACCTCCCGGCTGGGTGCCAGACCGCCCGGAAGGTCTGGGACGCCTGGTCCCTGGCCGGATAGCTGCCCTGCTCCTCCAGTTCGGGCGGCAGTTCGGCGCCTGCCTTACCAGCTCGAGGCGCCCGCAGGCTGCCGCCTCGCGGCGTCGATCCAGCGGCCAGCAGGGGGGCGCGAGATGCCCGAGGTCGCCCGGCGCCGCCAGCTCGAGGAGGCCCAGCGCGTCGAGGTCGCGTGGCCAGTCGCCGCCGCCCAGCGCCGGCACCGCCGCCCGGCTCCCCGCCGCCGCAATCCTGCCAGCTCCCGCGAGCGCCCAGCGCTCGCCTCCGCCAGCAGCGTCGCCGCCCCCCGCGCAGCGTCCCCCGCGGCCGCCGGCGCCTGCGCCGCCAGCGCCGCCCGTGCCGCCGCTGCCCGGCTGCCTGGCCCGCCTGACGAATCGTCGCCCTGTTTAGCGCCCGCGCCGCAGGCCCGCGGGCGCGCGCCGAGCTAGCGCGCGGGCGGCGCGCCGCCGCCGGCCCAGCGGCGCACCGCCCCGCGCGCAGCGAAGCAAGTGGGGCGGAGCGCCTCGGCGTGCCCCGCTGAAACGTCGCCGCGAGGCTCTGGCGCGCCGCTGCGAGCGCCTCGGGGCCCCCGCGCGCCCGGGTGCGCGAGGGCGCCTGCGCCTCCTTTCCGGAGCGCCCGAGGGTCTCCAGCGCGAAAGCCGTCAGCGCCGGGCCCGGGCAGCGC